TGTTGCTGTTGGTCTTTCAATTGGTTCTGCCGACTAGAAGTAAACACAGATGTTATTATTAAAGTATTTCAAATTTTAAACATTGCAATTATAGATTTAAAATAGCATCATATTATAAAGCAAGTCTAGCTATATCATTTTCCAAGCCTTAGTAGAACATATACTTGGCTTGACATTTTTTGGCAGCAATAAACCAGCTACAAAGTTTATTTCTCACAGTCCACATAAACTGATAGAATTGGATAATGGAATTTTATCCATAAAGCTTTATATAGCTTCTGAAGACAAATTTTTCCAATATAGCTTCCATTTTCCCCTACAGAGTTAACCTTCACCCACTTTAAAACTCAGGCATGTGCCAAACACGGCTTGTTATCTAGAAGCTGTCTTTCCGGAAGAGCCAAACAGGAGTCTGAATGGCAACTTGGCAGGGATCCCTTCTTTTTTATTCACCAGGCCAAATATTATACCTAAAACATATGACCATACAGAGAAAATATAGCTTTGTTAAAAATGCCAAGTCAATATTACCTACCGTTACAAATACTATAATAAAGATTTTTTAAATATACACACAAAAGCAAAATAGATTATGTACATAAATGCATTCCATAAACTGTATAATTTTATTTTTTAAAATGAACTTGGGTATATTTCACATCAGATACAAAAAGTAACTCAAAATGGATTGCAGACATCAATGTAAAATCTAAAGCCATAAAACTTCTAAACACAGGAGAAAATTTATGACATAGTCAATTAATGATTTCTTAGAGATAACACCAAAAGCACAATCCATGAAAGAACAAATGGATAAACAGAACATCCATTTTTAATTTTTTTTTTTAAAGAGGCAGGGTCTTGCCTAGGCTGGCCCTGAACTCCTGGCTCAAATGATCCTCCTGTCTCAGCCTCCTGGTAGCCAGAACTACAGGCACACAACACCATCCCTGGCTTAAAGAAAATTGCTGCTCTTCAAAAGACACTGTTTAGGAAAACTAAAAGACTAGTCAAGTCACAGACTAGGAGAAGACTTTTGGAAGCATATATCTGATATGTAAATATCTAAAGAAACTCAAAACTCAACAAAAATCTGAGCTGCTCGATTTGGGAGGGCTGGGGACATGGCAAAAGATTCCACCAAAGAAGCCATTCTACTCCTAGGTTATTTATTTAACCAAGAGAAATGACAGCATATGTCCACACAAAGACTTGCACATACGTGTTCATAATACTTTTATCTGTCAAAGTGAAACACTGGAAAACAACCCAAATGTCCATCAGTAGAGAAATGAATAAACTGTGGAATACCCATACAATGGAATACCAGCACCAATAAAAAGAAATGAACTATATATGCAACGACAGCGATGAATCTCAAGATTGTGTGAGTAAAAGAAATCATACTGCACGATTCCATTTATCTAGAAAATGCAAACTAATACACTGACAGAAAGCAGGGCAGTAGTTGGCTGGAGATGGGGTGTTATGGGTTGAGCTGTGTGTCTCCCAAAAAGATATGCTGAAGTCTCAACATCTGGTCAACCTGTGGATTTGACCTTATTTGGAAATAAGGTCTCTGCAGATATAATCAAGGTAAGGTAAGATCATACTGGATTAGGATGGCCTTAAATCCAAAAACTGATGCCTTTATATAAGAAGAGGGAAATTAGGATACATACATACAGGAAAGAAGACTATGGGAAGACAGAAAACAAAGATTGGAGCAATTTGTCTATAAGCCAAGTAACACCAAAGTTTCCAGAAACCACTGGAAGTTAGGAGAGAGGCATGGAACAGATTCTCTCTCAAAGCCTCCGGAAGGAACTCATTATCACTTATTACAGAGTCAGCCCTTTACCCTGTAGTTCTGCCTCCAGAATTGTGAGAGAATGAATTTCTGTCGTTTTAAGCCACCCAGTTCATGGTATTTTGTAACAGCAGCCCTGGGAAACTAACACAGGGTGGAAGTCCCACAGGGAAGGACAGAAAAAGGAATCACAAAAGGGCAAGAGAAAACTTTTGGGGGTGGTGAATATGTTCACCATCTTCACTGTGGTCATGGTTTCATGGTGTATGTCAAAACTTAAACTGTACACTTTAAATATTCAGTTTATTGTATGTCAATATATTTCAATGAGGCTGGTTTTCAAAAATCCAGTGGACATCAAGCCTCTTCACAAAGCCTCCTGTGAAAGACTAAGCCATGCAAATGGAAAGGTGGCTTAGAGCTGAAGGATAAAACTGACACAGAAGAAAATCCTTTTGGGATGAGGGCAGCTAGCCTGGAACTATTGTTCCTGATGCACTCAGAAAAAAAAAATTTAACTAATCAATAAAGCAGCCTGTCTCTTCAGGTGTACTAGGGTGCAAGGGACAGTTCTGTAAGGGCTGATGCGAGAGTGCAGGCCAGGAAACAGTGGGGGTGCTGGTCTGCTATCCTTTTAGGCCTCTGCCAATGTCTAAAGACTATCAAACAAGCAAATGATTTTCTTGAAATCAAGTAAATCTGATAAGCAGGGAAAAGACTCAAATTGTAATCCCCTTGCCCATAAGCCATCTTTTTCTTTAAAAAGAAAAGCTTCCTTTAAGGGTATAGGGCAGAATATCTTCATGCAATGCCAGTCAAAGGAAGGGAAATAAGTAATTAGTGTTACAGGAATCAAAATAGGAAGGGAAAAAAAAACCCCTCCATAGTCAGACTGGGTGGTTCAAATCCCAGCTCCAGCACCTTTTATGCACCTCTGGACAAGTTTTATAACTGTTTGACACTCCATTTTTCTCACTGGTGAGAAGGAAGTAGCCCAGGATTGCAATGCAGATGACGTGGGCACTCAGAGCATGGTAGTGCAAAAAAAATGTCAGTTACTATAGCTACTATTAAGGCAGTTACTGAGTTAGAAAAACATGCTTTTCAAGCAAAGGAAATGAAAAAAAAAAAAAAAACGGACTAAAATGCTTTCTAAGAAGAATATGCTTCCTTGGCAAAGTTATTTACTAAACTCCAATGACAATGTTTTTCAATAGTTTAACAACACTGTATCCTGTCACTGACAGATTAGATACTGAGGTTTCACAGAAACTACGCAATCTTTAGAACATGTAAAATGACCCCCTTGGAAGAGAATAATGACAGTAATATTGCAGGAGGGATTTGTAAAAAAAAAAAAAAAAGGGGCTAAGGAAGATTAATGCGTCTGTATAAGAAAGGCTTTAAGTCAAACCAGATATCCTAAAAACGTACATTTATATATAACAGGACCAGGATACACTTCGAAGAGGTAACTTCTTTTGTTGCTTCCTCCTAAAATATTAATTCTCAATTCTTCTCAGCTTAAATACCACGTTCCTCTCTAAAACACGATTTGTCCCACAACATTTTATCTGGCTCAGATAAGCAGGGTCACAATCTGTTGCCTAGGATGAAGTGAAGTGCAGTGTCACGATCATAGCTCACTGTAACCTCCAACTCTTGGGCTCAAAGGATCCTCCTACCCAGCCTCCCAAAGCACTGGGATTACAGGCGTGAGCAACTGTGCCCAGTTCCTCCTGATTATAATGCAGTACTGCCTTTCTCATTTCCTAAATGCTGAAACAGTAAAAACAAAACAAAACAAAACAAAAAACTAGCTAAAAAAAAGTCATCTAAAAATATTTTAGGTTATATAACAATATAACCCAAACATCATAGCACCCTAAAATCCAAAATAAGGGTTAAACTAATTTCATCACTTCAGAATTAGCCTAATAACAATAATCTATATTCTAATGACATTTTTGCCAAAAAATTTCCAAGAGAGAAGAACAATAAAAACCATAATAGATCTATCAAATGAGGTAATAATATATTTGATGGCTCAGAGACCTAGATTCAAAACTCCGTTAACACTCATTTAAACAAAAACCCCCAAATTTAAAAATGTTTAAAAAATAGAAATAAAACATTAATAGAAAAAATGTTCTAACATATCCTGATATGTAAAGATTAATAAATTAACAGTTAGAATTTAAAATTAGCACCTTATGAATCTTTTTTTTTTTTTTTTGAGACGGAGTCTCGCTCTGTTGCCCAGGCTGGAGTGCAGTGACGCGATCTCGGCTCACTGCAAGCTCCGCCTCCCAGGTTCACGCCATTCTCCTGCCTCAGCCTCCTGAGTAGCTGGGACTACAGGCGCCCACCACCGCACCTGGCTAATTTTTTGTATTTTTAGTAGAGACGGGGTTTCACTGTGTTAGCCAGGGTGGTCTCGATCTCCTGACCTTGTGATCCACCCGCCTCAGACTCCCAAAGTGCTGGGATTACAGGTGTGGGTCACTGCGCCTGGCCTAATTTTTGTATTTTTAGTAGAGATGCGGTTTCACCATGTTGGCCAGGCTGGTCTCGAACTCCTGACCTTAGGCAATCCGCCTGCCTCAGCCTACCAAAGTGCTGGGATTACAAGCGTTGAGCCACCACACCCAGCCCACATAATGTTTTTTAAGAAGGTTTACCAGTTTGTGTTGGGCTGCATTGAAAGCCGTCCTGGACCCAGCCTAAGGGCCGTGGGTTGGACAAGCTTGACCTAAAGGGATGATCGTGGAGGCAGGAGGTAAATAAAGCACAACCATCTCTTGGAGCTTTCCTGGGCCTCTGAGAGAGCCATACTGGCTCTTCATTATCATTGTATATTTGTCAAGTACTTTGGGTATGTTACATACTGAAGCAGCAAAAATAAATGGGATACGGGTCTTCTTAAGGAATTCAAAGTCCAGTAGGGGAAGCAGAAAGGTAACAAACAATTATCATACAAAAGTAAAACAAAAGCCCTCTGCAGAGTGCTCCAACATCTTTTATTCCTTATCATCTCCCCAAAATCCAATTTGTTGTCCCTATATGCCCTTTAAAAAAACCTAGGCCGGGCACGGAGGCTGACACCTGTAACCCCAGCACTTTGGGAGGCCGAGGCAGGAGGATCACTTAAGGTCAAGAGTTGGAGACCAGCCTGGCTAACACAGTGAAACCTCGTCTCTACTAAAAATACAAAAATTAGCCAGGTGTGGTGGTGGGTGCCTGTAATCCCAGCTACTTGGGAGGCTGAGGCAGAAGAATTGCTTGAACTCAGGACGTGGAGGGTGCAGTGAGTTGAGATCGTGCCATCGCACTCCAGCCTGGGTGACAACAGGGAAACTCCATCTCAAAAAAAAAAAAAAATTCCATACACAAAAGTAAAGTCCACATGGATTAATGACTTCACTGTAAAAGACAAAACTATAAATGTATTAAAAACATTTACTTATAGTTCAAATTTTAAAAGATAAAGATTACATTAGAAAAATGGGCAAAAAGATACAAATTCACAAAACAGTTGATACAGCTGGTCAATAGGCCAAAGAAAAACTGTTCAAGCTCAACAGACAATGGCAAAAAATTGTGAAGAGGACCTTCACAAAAACAGGAAATCCAAATAGTCAATAAACCTATAAAAAGGTGCGCAACCTCATCAGCAATTAGGCAAATTCAAGTTAAAGTTACAATGGGAAACCATTAAACATCATCAGAACGGCAAAAATTTCGAAGTCCAACAACAGTAAGTACCAGCAAGCTTCTGCAGCAACAGGAACTCACATATTGCTGGTAAAAGACTAAACTGGCATAGCCACTTTAGAAAAGTTGCCTTTATATATTAACGTTGAAGACAGAAATATTCTATGACATAGCAATTCCACCACCAGGCAAGCACCCTAGAGCAGTGTTACTCAAAGGGTGGACTGCAGATGACACTTATTTTGCTCTCTAGGCTATATAGATCCTAATGCACAAAAACAGTGCATACTTCTCTATTTCTTCAGATACTTTTACATTAGGGCTTTCAAATACCTGCGACCTTCATTTGTAAGCAAGGTTTTAGAGTCTTCTATCTACAGTAAGGTAAGATCTACTGACATAATGAGACTGCCAGGATAATTATACATATTTCAAAGGAGGAACCAAAGATACACATTTTAAATGTTTTCTCCTATTATCCTAAAAAAATTGGTAGCCAGTTCTCATTTAAATTTTTTGCTTTATTAACCTAACTCCAAAAATTAATGAAACAAGGACATTTTCGAAGTCATTTTAAAGAATATTATTGTTTTGTTGTGTTTTTAACATTTTAACACACATAATAAGAACTTTACAAAAGGTGAATGAGGAAGACCAAGCAGGTAATGAACGTCACCATTCATTTAGAGAAGCTAAAATGAAGTATTCTTAGCCTAAAATCCTTGTTGCTATACCACTCTCAGTGTTTTTGCCAGAAGTGTTAAAAAAGACACTTTGCTACTTTGCTTAGTAATGAAGTTTCCTCTTCTCTCTTTTCCTCCTCTTGCCCCCATTCTTCAGAAGGCAATGCTAATAAACAGAATTAGAAGAAATGAGGCAGCTAGAGAGAAAAGAAAAGCAAAGGATGCAAATACACACACAATGTTCAGGAGAGTGCCTCACAGGCAGCTGAAGCCAGAGCATCTGGGTTTGACCCCAGACTTCACCACTGGCAACATATGTAGTCATGTAACCTCTATGCCTCAGTTTCCTCATCTGTAAAAATGGCAGTAGCTAACTCACGGAGTTTTTCTGAGGATGAAATTACTAATTTGTGGAGTTTTTTTGTTTGTTTGTTTGCTTTTTAAAGACAGAGTCTCACTCTGTTGCCCAAGCTGGAATGACTGGCGCAATCACAGCTCACTGCAGCCATGACCTCCTGAGCTCAAGAGATCCTCCCACCTAGGTGTCCTGAGTAGCTGGGACCACAGGTGCGCACCATCATGACCAGCTAATTTTTAAATTTTCTTTTGAAAGAAGAGGACTCACTATGTTGCCCAGGTTGGTCTTGAACTCCTAGGCTCAAGTGATCCTCCAACCTCAGCCTCTCAAAGTGCCGGGATTACAACATGATCGACATGCCTGGCCTTACTAACACATGTAAAGTATAAAAAACAATGCTTGGCACACAATAAGTGCTACTGAAGTGTTAGCCATTAATATAAATTATTAATAATTTTGTTTTACAATGGCAACACAGAATTAGCCTGTTCAACCCCTACTTCTGCTGTCAAGATACTGCCTCTGTAAAAGACCACCTTGGGCACCTCTGATAACCCTTTTCCTAACATTCCAAGATAGGTTCCTACTTAAAAGCATAGTAGGTTTAAAAAACTCATATCAGAGTAAACCTTGTCACACTCTTACATAAATTTTGCTCAACAAAAGTAAATTACAATTGATGAAAGAAGATGTTCTTTCTTTTTTTTTTTTTTAAAGAGACAGGGTCTCCATCTGTCACCCAGGCTGGAGTTGGAGTGGTGTGATCATAGTTCACTGCAGCCTCAAACTCCTGGGCTCAGGAGATTCTCCTGCCTCAGTTTCCCAAATAGCTAGGACTGCAGGCATGTACCACCACATCCAGCTAATTTTTTAATTTAAAAAACTTTTTTTTTTAATAGAGACGAGGTCTCACTATGTTGACCAGGCTAGTCTCAAACCCCTGGCCTCAAGTGGTCCTGCTGCCTCGGACTCCCAAAGCACTGGGATTAAAGGCATGAGCTACTGCACCCAGCCTCACATTTATTATTGAAAGCATCTATCTGTTTGATCTTCCCATTTTAACATGTATTGTTTCAAAAACTTACTTTAAAACTAAATGCAAGTTAGCAGAGAGCCGAGGATCTGTAAATTGTGTTGTTCTGTTGTTATGGTCAACGAAATAAACTCTGCCTGTTGCCGTATTACGGATCTCCCATCCAGGAGGCAATGGACCAAGCTCTTCACAATTGATGTTGCTAAGATCCCTGCAAAAACAAATATAAAATAAAAAATACCTCATTGCTGGCCCTTCTCAACCAAGCAAGTGTAAATGACACAGAACAATTCCACAAAGTCTGAGAAAATGTATTGTTTCAGAAACTTGAGATGTTCAACTGGAATCTTTAATTCCCAATGGTTTAACAAACTCGCATCTTCAAAGCCCAATCCATAAATGGCTCAGAAAAACTTATCACATAGCCTACATTTTTTAGTAAGTTCCTAGGCTTTAATGTAATACAGATTTAAACTAATATAAAATCAATCACAATATTTGCCAACATAAAATGTATTTCAATACGTGTTTGACAGGAAATAATTTTACAAGTGTCAGTGATATCAAGAATTAAATGCTCTCTAAAATTTCCCTTCATTTCTTTACTATACCATAAAATTTGCATAAAATGTCCATCCCATGATTAATTTTAAGCTCTCCAACAAAGCAAAACTGGAAATGTTACTGAAATTATGATCCTGAAAAAAATCACAGCATATTTTTAAAGAATAAGCTGCAATTCTAAAATCTGTAGTTAGTCAATGAAGAACCTGTTTAAGATACATTACCAAGAGTGCTCTAAGCGTTACCACTGCAATAAGAAAAGCTAAGATTTTTAATGGACCAAAGACTATTGTTATTATATTACACATTCTTAAAATACTAGTATATATAGACAAGGATTTATAGCGTCTTAAAGAATGAGTTAAGCAGCTTCCAGGTTGGTGAACACACTGAGGTACCGGGATAGTGGTCTGACCAGAGAGGGCATGGTAGCTCCTTGCCCTCCCCACATACTGTGCCCTAAGCATTGCTTCCATTTGGCTGTTCCAGAGTTGTATTCTCTATAATAAACTGGCAATAGTACTGCAAATTCTTATCCTCTACACTGTTAGAAAAAAATCTTTCAGTGAAGCTTCCAAAGTGTTGAAATTGCTGTTTGTCATCCACCAGAAAAGTCACTGCCTTTGGTGACATAACTGAGATTGCATGTAACAATGTAGGATATGCTCAGGTCATTTCCAGCCTTAAATGAATACTTTAGGCTACCAGAGCCATCTGTAAATACCAAAGAAATGACATACTCTAAAAGTGACCAAGCAAACTCAAGCATCTAGACAGCAAAACTGTTCCTGTGGTCCTCTTTTTATTATTTAAAAAAAAAAAAGAAAAATAAAAAAGCAGCATGTTTAATGTAAATTGAAATTGTAACAGATAATTATAAGTAATGACAAATTTCATCAAAATCACATTTTAAAAGTTAAACTAGAAAAATGTTTTTCCTGAGATGACCTCTCCTTAGTCAGGGTGAAACCAGTGATGGGCACACAGGGACCTAGGTTTGCCGAAGCAATGATTCTGACTTCTACTATAGGTGCTCCAAGAGACTCTTGCTACAGAACAGCTAAAGTGTAGGAAAAAACACTATTTGAAACACTGCTAGTCTCAAAAGAGGCAAGGGAAAGTTCCAAGAATCCTCCTCAAATTAAAAAAAAAGGGGGGGAGTTTGGGGGACTGAGTGAAGCTGGTACCTGAGTGGCAGGTAGGCAGAGGGGCAGGCCAGCAGCAAGACTGCGATAGGAAACCTGAAGCTTCCTCCCCAAGCTGAGAATTCAAAGAGGGAGTTCAGCCTCCCAAATTCAGCCTCCCAAAGTGCTGGGATTATAGGCGTGAGCCACTGTGCCAGTCCCAGATAGATTTTTTAATAGTTTAGAAATGAAAAACAGGAGCTGGAGGCCATTATCCTTAGCAAACTAAAGCAGCAATAGAAAACCAAATACTGCATGTTCTCACTTATAAGTAGGAGCTAAATGAGGAGAACACACGGACACATAGAGAGGAACAACAGGTACTGTGGCCTACCATAAGGGAGAGGATCAGCAAAAATAACTAATGGGTACTACGCTTAGTAGCTGGGTGACAAAATCATCTATACAACAAACCCCCATGACACAAGTTTACCTATAACAAACCTGCACATGTACCCCTGAACTTAAAAGTTAAAAAAAAAAATTAAAAAAATGAACAATTCTACTGATAAAATGCAGAATTTCATTTCATGTCATTTTATTTAGAATTTTATAAATCTACAGTCATACATGGGAGAGCGCTAAAGCACTGATTAAACGAGCAAAAAACTACAAATAATCTTTGTGTCTCATTGGGAGCTGGTTAAAGAAAAATGGAATGTTATACAGTCATACAAAGTAATACAGATCTGTATTTCAGGACTACAGTCAGTCAGTATGCAATGTAACAAATAACAAGGCATTAGTCATTGTTTTAAAGAGAAATGCAAAACATGATGAAACGAGATTTCTTGGATAAATCTAGGTATCCTGGATATCTTTAAATAAAGTTTGTTTTAAAGAGTCTGACTTTGCAATTTTATAAATATCTTTGAATAGTGATATTCTAATAGAATCTAAATATTTATAGTATACTTTCATAAAAGATCCTCCATACAAAAGGCATGTTTGCTAAAGGATCCTCCAAAACAAAAGACACAAGTTTTTAAGGCAATTTGGGGGATACAAAATAAGAAAAATAATCCCAAGTGTTATTTCATAAAATCATCATTCAAACTACATGTCGATACTCAACATGAGATATTCTTAAAGCTTTGCTGAAATCCTTTACTCATTATTAAAAAACTGACATGTTTCCTCTAAAATAAAAGCCTATTACCAACAGTGGTGCTGAAATCTGTCTCAATTTCAATTTCTGTTGCCAGATTACATACTATTCTTTCAACATATAACTCAAGGTCAACTTTCTCACTATTGTAAATCATTTAGTTAAAAAAACATAATCGGCCAGGGGCGGTGGCTCACACCTGTAATCCCAGCACTTTGGGAGGCTGAGGCAGGTGGATCATGAGGTCAGGAGATCGAGACCATCCTGGCTAAGAGTGAAACCCCGTCTCTACTAAAAATACATTAAAAAAAAAAAAAAAGATTATTTTTATTCTATACATTTCCTACAAATAATTTCTAATTATTTTAAAGAAAAGCTTATTATTGACCTTCAACTAGATAAACCAAATCCAAAAAGCTTTTCATAATTTATATAATAAAACTGATTTTGAAAAGTTAGGCCCTTGGATTTTTTTTTTTAGTAAGCTTAAAAAAAAAAAAAAAGTAAAATTTCCTCCCCACTACTTTTTATTTATTTAGATATGGAGTCTTGCTCTGTTGCCCAGGCTGGAGTGCCATCATGTGATCTCGGCTCACCACAACCTCCACCTCCCAGGTTCAAGCGATTCTTCTGTCTCAGCCTCCTGAGTAGCTGGGATTACAGGCACATGCCACCATGCCTGTCTAATTTTGTATTTTTAGTAGAGACGGGTTTTCACCATGTTGGCCAGGCTGGTCTTGAACTCCTGACCTCAAGTGATCCTCCCGCCTCAGCCTCCCAAAGTGCTAGGATTACAGGTGTGAGCCACCGTGCTCAGCCCCCACTACTTTTTAAAAACTAACAGCTTATATTGTCAAGACATGGAAATGGCAACCTTGATAAAGTAATGAGTAATAGCACATTCCCTTGGTTGCCACCCTCAAAGGATTCTGAGCTCTATAACACAAAGTAAGACATTTTCATAATTGTAGTTTTATTTATAAATAGAGAGCATCAAAGCAACTCAAGACAAGCTAGTCACATCTGTTTTTTTTTTCCTTTTTTTTTCTTTTGAGACGGAGTCTCGCTCTGTTGCCCAGGCTGGAATACAGTGGTGTGATCTCGGCTCACTGCAAGCTCTGCCTCCCGGGTTCACGCCATTCTCCTGCCTCAGCCTCCTGAGTAGCTGGGACTACAGGCGCCTGCCACCTCGCCAGGCTAGTTTTTTTGTATTTTTTTAGTACAGACGGGGTTTCATCGTGTTTGCCAGGATGGTCTCGATCTCCTGACCTCATGATCCGCCCGTCTCGGCCTCCCAAAGTGCTGGGATTACAGGATTGAGCCACCGCACCCGGCCGTCACATCTGTTTTTGATTCAAATACACAATAGAGTCCTGAGTATAAGCTTTAGGCAGAAAAAAACCCTCTGTGGGTTGTTTTGGGAGGTTTGTTTTGTTTTGGAGGAGGGGGGCTGCTGTGCTTAACATAAAATACCCACAACCTACAAATCCTTTGTATGTGCAACATACAGAGTTGATTTCGAATTTAATTTAGAATTCAAGCTTTTTTCCAGTTTCAACTGGACTACTTGGTACTTTGCATCTATTCATTAAAAAACAACTCAAAATAGGGCCAAGTATGGTGGCTTATGCCTGTAATCCCAGCACTCTGGGAGGCTGAGGTGTGCAGATTGCTTGAGCTCAGGAGTTTGAGACTAGCCTGGGCAACATGGCGTAACCCCATTTCTAATAAAAATACAAAAATTAGTGGGGTATTGTGGCTCATGCCTGTAGTCCCAGTTACTCAAGAGGCTGACGTGGGAGGATGGCTTGAACCCAGGAGGCAGAGGTTGCAGTGAGCCAGGACTGCACTACTGCTCTCCAGCCTGGACAGCAGAGCCAGATCCTGTCTCAAAAAAAGGGAGGGAAGAAGGGAGGGAGGAAGAAAACAATGTTCCAAAAATTATGGTAAATCACTAAATTCACTTGTGTGTCATTTCATCTTTTTGAAGTTAAAAGTAATTGACATTTTGGTTAGTAAATGCAGTATCTGCAGCTGAAATACAAAAGTCTGGATATTTAAATTAAATTAGGGCCAGGCAGAGTGGCTCGTGCCTATAATCCCAGCACTTTGATAGGTCGAAGCGAGAGAATCACCTGAGGTTAGGTGTTCATGACAAGCCTGGACAACATGGCAAAACCCCATCTCTACTAAAAACACAAAAATTAGCTGGGTGTGGTGGCAGGTGTCTGTAATCCCAGCTACTCAGGAGGCTGAGGCAGGAGAATCACTTGAACCCGGGAGGCGGAGGTTGCAGTGAGCCAACATTGCACCACTGCACTCCAGCCTGGGCAACAGAATGAGACTCCGTCTCAAAAACATTAATTAAATTATGTTGTTTTCTAAAAATGAAATTTTAATAAGGAACACATAAAGGAACATTGAATACATTTATGAGGTTAAATTTTTTAAAGGTTTTTTTTTTTTTAAGCTGAACCATATTAAGAGTATCAACCTACTACGCTTTTTTAAAGGGTATGTGTTCTATGTTTCTCCCCAGGTCAATTTTCTTTTTCTATCCGTTTTTTTTGTTTGTTTGTTTGTTTTTTTGAGAAAGGTCTCGCTCTGTCACCCAGACTAGAGTGTAGTGGTGTGATCTCGGCTCACTGCAACCTCCGCCTCCCACCTTAGCTTCGCAAGCAGCTGGGACTACACAAATTTTCTTTCTCTTTTTTTGAAATGGGGTCTTGCTCTGTCACCCAGGCTGGAGTACTATAGTGCGACCAAGGCTCACTGTCACTTCAACATCCACAGCTCAAGCAATCCTCTTGCCTCAGCCTCCCAAGCAACTGGGACCACAGATGTGCTCCACCACATATGGCTGATTTTTAATTTTTGGTAGAGACCGGGTGTATGTTGCTAGGACTGGTCTCAAACTCCTGGGGCTCAAGTGATCCTTATGCCTCAGCCTCCTGAAGTGTTGGGAATATAGGTGAGAGCCACTCTGCTCTGCTTGGTGCCCTAGGACAAGTTTCAAACTCCTAAAAGATCCATGTTTTTATTCCACTCTTTTTTTTTTTTTTGAGACAGAGTCTCGCTCTGTGACCAGGCTGGAGAGCTGTGACATGATCTCAGCTCGCTGCAACCTCCACCTCCCTGGGTTCAAGCAATTCTCCTGCCTCAGCCACCTGAGTAGCTGGGACTATAGGCACGCGCCACCATGCCCACCTAAGTTTTGTAGTTTTAGTAGAGATGGGGTTTCACCATGTTGGCCAGGATGGTTTTGATCTCTTGACCTCGTGATTTGCCCACCTCGGCCTCCCAAAGTGCTGGGATTACAGGTGTGAGCCACCACGCCTGGCCTATTCTACTTTTCTTAAGGGGAAGCAGGGGAGGATGGCTAGGAACTGGTGAGGGAGGGGAGAACTGAGGTGGGATTGCAGAGAAGTAGGCGAGACTTTCTGCTAAATGTCGAAACTGCAATAACTATCAGAAGAGTCAAACTTTTACATTAACTATTTTTAAAAGGTAAAAATTTCTTAAAAATCAAAGAAATCCTAGGTGAAATGGCTCTTTGATAGTCTAAAGAGTACTTAAAATATGTACTTACCTGGGCACTCTTGGATCATGCCATGTGCTCACACCAGTCTGCGTATGTAAGAAATACACCTGACCTTGTTGCGTTGTCCTCTGTTCTGTAAAATTAATAAACACTGATAACAAAAACATTCAGAATGTCCGGATCAAAGACAGTTATATACACTAAGATGATACACTAGTAGGAAAAAATCTCCAAATTACCAATCTATTTTATTTATTATCAAAAAAGGGCTTTACAAATCATTTGTTCTGTCTCTTGGAAACAATTTTACAAATGATAAGGGCCATGGGTCAGCTATCTAAAAGCAAACTAAACTTATAACGTGGCTCAAATACTAAATATGTTGCAATGGAAAACAAATCAAGATTGTCACAATACTAATAATTAAAAGATTTTAAATGAGGTATAAAAGGCTCTGAGAAAGAGGCTGGCCAACATTGGGAAGATCTGAGGAAAAACTTACGGAAATTTTCAAAGAGTCTGGAGGTTGATAACGCTTACTATGCCTAATTTTATACCAAAACTTACGTTTTCTCTTTGCTAGACAAAGGTGTATTCTCAAGATTACATTTGAGCTCAAAGAGAAGCAAAACAGTGAGATACTAGGAAGACATTCTATGTCATAAACAGATAGAGATGGAAAAATAGCCAAATTAGAAAGAGCAAGCATGCACACTGGGGAGAAAAAAAGTCAAGGACAAAATGAACTCAAAGCCCTTGGAAAGACAGAGGAAAGGCCAGGGTGAAGAGAACAACCTATAAAAGCATTTCTTTTTTTTTTTTTTTTTTTTTGAGACAGAGTCTTGCTCTGTAGCCCGGGCTGGAGTGCAGTGGCCGGATCTCAGCTCACTGCAAGCTCCGCCTCCCGGGTTTAGGCCATTCTCCTGCCTCAGCCTCCGGAGTAGCTGGGACTACAGGCGCCCGCCACCTCGCCCGGCTAGTTTTTTTTGTATTTTTAGTAGAGACGGGGTTTCACGGTGTTAGCCAGGATGGTCTTGATCTCCTGACCTCGTGATCCGCCGGTCTCGGCCTCCCAAAGTGCTGGGATTACAGGCTTGAGCCACCGCGCCTGGCCAAAAGCATTTCTTTATGGTGGGTTTTGTTTTGTCTTTTTTTTTAAAACAACAGAACCACTTTTCTTTAAATAAAATCTAATGAGAAACTTCAATACATAAAACAATAAAACTATTACTAATATTTATTAGTATAAATCTAATTTGTTTATAAACATATAAAGTCAATAAATTTAAACTTTAAACTTTCACAAATTATAAACAAAATCATATTATTATAGAGGACAGCCATAATAATTTCAGCCTTGGTATCTATTTTATTTTTATGTTGTGGTTGTACAATTTTTAAAATTCAAATCACAGAAATATTGTAAAAGTATAACCACTCCCACTCTAAAGAGCTTGCCTTCTAATCTCCAAGAGAAATGGCAGGAGAAAATTTCTTCTCAGGTCTGAACACTGATAATTACAGTTAAAATCTACCGTGCCAAACACTGTGCCAGTGTTTCACATGAGATTAGGTATCATTGATTTCTTGCAACAAACTTAGATGGTTGATGCTATTATTTTCCCCTATGAAGGATAAAACTGAGGCTCAAAGAGGTTAAATGATGTGTTCAGTGTTACATGGCAACACCAGGATATGAACCTAGGTCCTAGGTCTTTCAAGCCTGTAATTTAATGATTGTGCTAAAAGTTAACCTCTGAGTCATAGCACAGTTAATGGACAAATTTTTTCAAATTAAAGAGCTAAAATACATTTAAAACTAAAATGAGAATCATGCATTTGCGGAAGAGTTTTAAAAAATATCCTTGAGTAAAATAAAACTTAGGTGTGTCAATTCGCAATGTTGGTTATTAGGTGTCAACATCAATCCAAAGTGGTTTATCTACAGTCTGTTAAGAGGGCAAGGATGTAAGTAACCTTGGTGAGCTTTTGGCAAGCAAGGAGAGGAAGTCAAGTTTAGACTATATACAAGTATTCACAAGATGGTATTAATTTAGAAACTTCTGTATTCTATTAGGAGAAGACTCATGTTATCTTCCACATGAAATTTTATAATCTAGGATTTTATATAAGATTGTAATCATTTTATACAAACATAGAAGTGACTCAATCATTTATAACAATCCACTCAGATAATCCAAAATTATAGACAATATAAATATATGATCAGAAATATGCCTTTGAAATTATTTCTAAATATATGTCTAAAAAATTACATCGTAGGTTGAACTTCAGATTACTGTTATCAGTAACAATACCATCTTACCTTTCTATTCAGTGCCTATTTACAAAATAGTCTCACTTCATCTCGTATGCTTCTCACACTACCTTTGTTATAAACTAGTCATCTCACTTCATGATAAAAGAGCACAAACGCTGAGGCTGAATGACGAGTGCAAGGTCAAACTGTTGGCTGGGTAGTCATCTACCACTTCAAAGACTTTTCAAAGTTGGGAGGTTTTATATTTATTTTCATGCAGAATCCCTAAGCCCAGATTAATAACTTTTTCAAAATATATTTTCTGACTTCCTCAGCAAGCTGAAATCAGTAAACCACATTTTATTTTTCCTTTGCTAGTTGTCGTACCATAGCCTTCTGGTAGGTCTGGAGGAGTATGTAAATGTGTCCTGCTCATGTAATTTCTATGTCGTTGTGACCTGACTCTCCTCTCTGCCAGCCTGGGATCTGAAGACTGTCCACACGTTGCACCATTTGTTCCACTAATTGGAGTGTTCTCATCAACAAAGCAGCTAAGAGGTCTGCCAGGGCTAGAATATTCGGATGCCGGTCTATTGAAAATTAACAAGGAAAAGACATTATCAATTTAGATATCGAAAGTAGAGTTCTCTAGACAATATATATACTGCAGTAACAATCACTTATCATATCTGAAAACACAATGACTAATACAAGTGTAACGACTTCAAGAACTGAGTAAAAGCAAATCTGAAGTCTCTAAGCACCAAAGAAACACAAATGATAAGCACGTCAACTATGTATTTAAATGACTTTATTTTAATGACATTTGATATAAAATCCACATATATCTGTGGATGTAAGACTGGTTTACAAACTACTGCTAGATCTAGCTACAGCCTCTCTCTCAGATCTGACTTCCCACCATTCTCCCTCCCACTCTGCTTCTGCCACACTCATATCGTTCTGTTCCTTGAACTTGCCGAGGTCATTCCACCTGAGAGCAGTTGCTCTTCCTTCCACCTGGCATATTCTTTTCTCCCACTCTTCCCAGGTCTGGCTCTTTTTTGTCATTCAAATCAGTTTATTATTGCCTCCTAAGAGGTCCCTCGGACCTCCCAATCTAAAAAAGTCACTCAGTCCTTTGACAACACATCACAAAAGGGAAGAAGACAGTTTGTCTCTTTAAGGAGCTTCCAGTCTACTATTGCAGATCTTCCAAAATAAAAAATAATCAAGAGTTCATTCTTAAATTAACATGAACGGGTATGGTGGCTCACACGTGTAATCCCAGCACTTTGGGAGACCGAGGCGAGTGGATCACTTGGGGTCAGGAGTTTGAGACCAGCCTGGCCAACATAGTGAAACCCCATCTCTGCTAAAAATACAAAAATTAGCCAGGCGTGGGGGCGGGCGCCTGTAGTCCCAGCTACTTGGGAGGCTGAGGCACGAGAACTGCTTGAACCTGGGAGGCAGAGGTTGCAGTGGACAGAGGTTGCAGTAAGCTGAGATCACACCACTGCACTCCAGCCTAGGCAACAGAGCAGGACTGTCTCAAAAAAAAAAAAAAATTAGCATTTAAAACAACAATCATCCTTACATACACGTAGAAATTAAAGTTAATTTTACTGGTTAAATGAGTCGGAAGGAAATGGGTGTTCAAGTGAAACCCTGAACACTGACACAAGTACATATTCATTTGTGCTCACATATAATAAAAATGGGTACTTCAATAAATTCCTTGGCAGTTTAATACTAGAAATGCAGCTTGGCAACATGAGCTGGCTTTTACCTGAGAATCATAATGTTAACGAGAAAATTTTGTGATCCAATGAGTTAAGCAATTAGTTGTGTATAAATAAAAGTAGGTGCAGCTAATGAAAAGAATTTGGTATTTTATGTCTCGTGCCAGTCCTGCTCAAGAGGGGGAAAAACAGGCAAAACAAAACATTGCACAAGATGGCAAATTTTGTTCTCACTTAAAAGAGTGGGGAGAAGGGGATTCAGCCAAGTAGACTATTTGTTTTTGGTTACTTCAAAAGCACCTCTTTGCAGTTTCCAAAATTATCTTGCATCCCAATGTCTTTATACAGTAAGCTCCATGAAGTGACTATACTTGACACTCTTCAAGATTTAGTTCAGAGATTCCTCTGCTTATCAATTTAATTCATTCAATAATTTTATTTTATATTTTTGAGACTGAGTCTCGCTCTATTGCCCAGGCTGGAGTACAGTGGTACAATCTCGGTTCACTGCAACCTCCACCTCCTGGGTTCAAGCAGTTCTCCTGCCTCAGCCTCCTGAGTAGCTGGGATTACAGGCACCCACCAACACGCCCAGCTAATTTTTGTATTTTTAGTAGAGACGGGGTTTCTCCATGTTGGCCAGGCTGGTCTCAAACTCCTGACCTCAAGTGATCCGCCCACCCTGGACTCCCGAAGTGTTGGGATTACAGGTGTGAGCCACCATGCCCGGGCAATTTTTTTTTTTTTCTTTTTGAGATGGAGTCTCATTCTGTCACTCAGGCTACAGTACACTGGCACAGTCTCGGCTCACTGCAACCTCCACTACTCGTGTTCAAAAAATCCTCCCATCTCAACATCCCAAGTAGCTGGGACCACAAGTACATGCCACATGCCCAGCAAAAATTTTTTTTTTTTTGAGACCAGAGTCTCGCTCTGTTGCCCAGTCTCACTCTGTTGCCCAGCTCACTGCAAGCTCTGCCTCCTGGGTTCACGCCATTCTCCTGTCTCAGCCTCCCGAGTAGCTGGGACAAAAGGCGCCCACCACCACGCCCGGCTAATTTCTTTTTTGTATTTTTTTTTTTAGTAGAGATGGGGTTTCACCGTGTTGGCCAGGATGGTCTCGATCTCCTGACCTCAAGATCTGCCCACCTTGGCCTCCCAAATTGCTGGGATTACAGGTGTGAGCCACTGCACCCGGCCATGCCTGGCTAATTTTTTTGGTAGAGAGCGTCCCCCTTGCGGTCTCCCGCAGCTGCTTGGAGGTTCCTGGATGTCGTATGGCTTCCTCCTTTCCGGGACCCCTCTGCTTTCCTGAGTGGCCACGCTCCATCTCTTGAAGGGGTACCCACACTTTTAAGTGAGAACAAAATTTGCCATCTTGTGCAATGTTTTGTTTTGCCTGTTTTTCCCCCTCTTGAGTAGGTCTCAAATTCCTGAACTCAAGTGATCTGCTCGTCTCGGCCTCCCAAAGTGCAGGGATTACAGGCTTGAGCCACCACACCCAGCCTCATTCAATAAATATTTATTGAGTACCACTGCAGGCTCTGGAGCTACAATGACAGCATGACCTGTCAAACAAACTGTTGAAGATCACTTTAAAAAAATAACAATGGCACCTGTTGTAAGATGTACTGATCTACAACAGCATAAACCGACAAAAAAAAATCTAGTAAAGCTGACAGATACATAGAAAAGGACTTCAGGAGGGTGGCCAGCATAGACTATGGGAAAATATTTGTATGTACTTACCGTGTTGGGCGCTCCCATTGTGTAGTTCTTGTTATATGGTTTAGATACTGGATTCTTCCAGAGGCGGTTCTCCTTTCTTCCCAGCTTAAATAAAAATATTGAGTGATAAGGCATTAACAGGAAACTTGGACACAGAATGTTTTCAGTGCAACAAGCAAGCCAGTAAGATATCTGTTACAAATCAGGAATGCCAACCTGAAGTATCAATTCACAGAATACAGAATTTTTTCAACTTATTTTAGAACTACATAATATATTTTATGGGATTCTGAAGCTTCTAAAGTATTTACGCTGAGGTGTATCAAATATTTTCCATCAGCCAAACTCTGAGAATTTTTAATGTCAACAATGCACAATTAAATTCATACTAATTACTCTAGAATATGGAAAATGGCTATACTAAAAATATATTTAGTCATAAAATTACGAGGTCTCTTGACTTCGTGATCCACCTGCCTGGCCTCCCAAAGTGCTAGAATTACAGGCATGAGTCAAAGCGCCCAGCCGAAAGCTTTTCAAAGCATTTAGCCTGCCCAAACTAATTTTTTAACAGTCAAGACTGTTGGCCGGCACGGTGTCTCATGCCTGTAATTCCAGCATTTTGGGAGGCTAGCGTTTTGGGAGACCAAGGTAGGCGGATCACCTGAGGTTAGGAGTTCCAAACCAGCCTGGCCAACATGGTGAAACCCCGTCTCTATTAAAAATACAAAAATTAGCTGGGCGTGGTGGCGCGCGCCTGTAATCCCAGCTACTAGGGAGGCTGAGGCAGGAGAATTGCTTGAACCCGGGAGGCAGAGGTTGCAGTGAGCCAAGATGGTGCCACTGCACTCCAGCCAGGGTGACAAAAGCGAAATTCCTTCTCAAAAAAAAAAAAAAAAAAAATCAAAACAGCCTTTTTTTTTGTTTTTGTTTTTGAGATGGAGTCTTGCTCCTTCACCTGGCTGGAATGCAGTGGTGTGATCTCAGCTCACTGCAACCTCCGCCTCCCGGGTTCAAGCAATTCTCCTGCCTCAGCCTCCTGAGTAGCTGGGACTACAGGTGCACGCCACCACACCTGGCTACTTTTTGTATTTTTAGCAGAGATGGGGTTTCACCATGTTGGCCAGGATGGTCTCGATCTCTTCACCTCGTGATCCTTCCTCCTCAGCCTCCCGAAGTGCTGGGATTACAGGTGTGAGCCACCATGCCCGGCCAAGACTGCTACTTTCTATCAACTCTTTATCATAATTCATTTAATGAAAAAGAGCCAAATGGCTATAGAAATGTGATAATTCTAATATTTCTACAAAGATATTGGCAGAGGTTGAAGGGCTCTAAAAGACAGAAAATGAAGAGATGCTAGGGTATTTTTCCCCCTCTGATTACAATTATAGTACATTAATGTAGGGCAAGTTTAGAACAGTAAGCCTTATTACTGCTGGTACTCTCTCAATATTGATTAGTTATTTCATCCTAAATTTCCTTTTCAAAAATATCATAATCTACCTCATATCTACAGAAGAGCTAACAGACATATCTGGAAGCTAAAGTGATCTATGAACAGTTAAGTATAGTGATTTTTAACAGTTTAAAAAATGAGCATATACCGTAACCTGGGTATAAAATTTTGTATAAAACGTAATTGGAGTTAAAATTTAACCATTTATATACTTAAATGGATGCAATTTATTACATGTAAGTTATATCTCATTGAAGTTAATTAAAAATACTTTGAATGTTAAAAATAAAATCAGAAAAGAGTCAGAACTAGTATTAAAGAGACCAATGATAAAAATCATGACTTTAGAATCAAGACAGGTTTGTGTGTTTTGGCTCTGCCACTTACTATGTGGCCTTAAACAAATTACTTATCTAACTCTTAGTTTTTGAGGGTAACAACAGTAATAGCAATAGAAATAATAGTAGCTAATTATTTACTAAGCACTTATTTTATGCAAGACACTGTGCTAAAGTGCTTTACCTGAATTATTTCATTTAATCCTCTCAACATTTTATGGAGTATGTACTATTATCACTCATACTCTTTTGTAAATAAATATAAACCAAAGCACATGGAAGTTAAATAAAGTAAGGTCATAAAGCCAGTACACAGAAGAGTAAGGATTAGAATTCAGGTGGTCTGATTTCAGAAGCATGGCTATATACTACCTTCCAAGATGCTATGAGAATTAAATGATATGTACATAAAGCGCTTGTAACAGTATCTGACATATACATGCTCAAATAAATGTTACTATGTTATTTTAATTACTATCACACAAATTATGCATCCCATCCCTCTTAAATACAGCAATGTTTCTAATTTAGCACTTGCAGGGCCTGTTTTGAATAATTTAATCAAGTAACTTTTTTTAACTAGATAATATCTACAAGAGACTTATATTTGTCAATAAATTTCATTTGTCTCCTAGTCAAAACTCTTAATAACCAAATTTAACACATCTAATTTGTGGCTTATTTTATAAATTTGTTGTGACAAGATCTTCCATTAATTTTACCATTACAAGGAAAATCTACATTCAATATACAATAAACACCATTTAATATAAAATAAACACCAACTTATTTATATTCTTTTAAGAATATTATCTATATATTTCTCTAATGATTTCAGTGATGTTAGCTTACCCGTCTGGTAAATCATTATCAAATAAACGACTGCAGTCCACAACTTGTCCTCCTGTGCCTATTCGGTCTCTGGACTGAAGACTTACTATTAAATGACAGAAATATTACTAAGATTTGTACAACTAGAAAGAACTATTATAATCAAAAATTTCTATCTTTAGAAGACATCTGGCTTAGCTTATTTTAATACTTTAGAATGAATTCTTTGGTTTCTACTAAAATTTACAATTTCTTTTCCCATAGATTTTTCTCTTTAGGAGTAATATTAGACTTCTAAGGTTTTCTACACTTTAACATGTTCATGGAAGAAGCCTAATTCCTTTTTCACCATAGTAATGGTGCATAGCAGAGTTACTGCTGTACTTAAGAAGAGGCATAACATATTAAGGGTATATTCATGTACAAATGAGTTTGAAAAGTCCACATTAATGTGACTTTAATACTTGATCATCTGACCATCTAAAAAATACACTGGGCTGGGCGCAGTGGCTTACACCTGTAATCCCAGCACTTTGGGAGGCCAAGGCAGGTGGATCATGAGGTCAGGAGATCGAGACCAGCCTGGAAAACATGGTGAAACCCCGTCTCTACTAAAATACAAAAAATTAGCCAGGTGAGGAACTATGGGTATGGTGTGCACACCTGTAGTCCCAGCTGCTGGGGAGGCTGAGGCAGAGGAATCACGAACCTGGGAGGCAGAGGTTGCAGTGAGCCGTGATTGCACCACTGCACTCCAGTCTGGCGACAGAGTGAGACTCCGTTTCAAAAAAAAAAAAAATACACTGTATTCTAGCAAGAGGGCCATCCTGGTATTCCAGTAAGAGAGCAATCCTTGGATTCCATGAGTTTTAACAGGACACCATTATCCAGTGTAGTATAAAACCGTCACAAAAAACAAAGAAGCAAGAGCTGTGAATTCTAGAGCAGGCTCTAGTAACCAGTTTAGCACTGTAACCTAGAACAAAACACTTAATATACTTAAGGTTTAGATAATCCCCGTCTGAATAATGAAAAAGTTAGGTTAAATAATATCCCTGAAGTCCTTCTGTGCTACTCCAGTATTGTTCAATTCTAATTCTGGTAACTCTCCCAAAAGACAGAAGGCAGTACGGTCAAACTTGACTATAATCCAACTTCTTAAATAATCGGTGAGCACAACAAGTATTACATCTAAGGACCCTTCATTCAAAGAAGGGTCTCAAAATTCTGAAATCTTCCAGCTCTGTGAACATTTTGAAAGATCAGTGCAACATAGAGCTCCTTGATATTAAGTCCCATTTAGAGGAGAGAACACTATGAACACCTACTTGGCAAATGTAAATAAAACATTATATGAAAACTGTACTAGACAACTATATCAATCAGTTTTTAAATAGATAAAATAAGTGAAATGCTTACCAAAATACAATCACAGTAGAAACAATGTATTTTCTCATTAGTATTGTTTAGAATAATAGTAAGATTTAAAGCTAAAGAGTTTCATGGGCTTCAACTTACATCTCCAGAATGCTATGTTAATAGCACAGCTATTAACTGGTTAAATGAATTACATACCCACCATAGACTATCATACAACATTAAAAATGCTACGGATTTTGCAAGCCTTAATGCAAAGTAGGAAAAAAAAAAAAAAAAAACAAGTAACAATGCTATAGAAATGTGTTTATGGTCCAAAAAAAAAAAAAGAGGTTTATGATAAATTTAAACTGGTTTTTAAAAATTCAGTATTATCTCATTTAAAGAAAAACATTAAAAAAGTATACATTCAAGTGATAACAATAATGATTCATTAGACTTTCCATGCTCAAACAATCCTCCCACCTCAGCCTCCCAATGTAGCTGGGGCATAACAGTTTTAAACAAGGAAAAAAGTTTGTACCCCTTGAATCAATTATCTAAATTTGGGAGATTCTTTTCTAAAAAAAATAAATCAAAGTGTACAAAAATGCTTGCAAGTTTCAATGTTATAATAGCAAAAAAATTAATTTTAATTAAGTTGTGATATATCTATATATTTCATCCTTTAAAAATCATTAATTACAAAGATTATAAATACTAGAAATGATTATCGTTAAGTGAAAGAAAGCAAAGTAAAAATTTAATGTTCACTGGAATTAAAGACATAAATATATACATTTTATATACATATTTACGTATATAAAAATACTAGAGGGGAATACAGTTTTTTTGTTTGTTTTTGTTTTTTTGAGATGGAGTCTCGCTCTGTTGCCCAGGCTGGAGTGCAGTGGTGAGATCTTGGCTCACGCCACCATGCCCAGCTAATTTTTGTATTTTTTTTTAGTAGAGATGGGGTTTCACCATCTCTACAAAATTCACCAGGCTGATTTCGAACTCCTGACCTTATGATCTGCCCACCTTGGCCTCCCAAAGTGCTGGGATTACAGGCATGAGCCACCGTGCCCGACCCGGGAATACAGTTTTTAAAGTTAGTCTTCTAGTGCCCTTTTCTCCATTTTCCAAAAAGTATATATACCTACTTACAATTATTTGTTAGAGGGCTCATTCTGAAAGAACTGGAACTCATTCTGTTTTTGAATGACAGAACTAAACAATCATAATGTCTGAGTCCAGCCTGCCTCTCTCTTTACTAATGGTCCTGTTATGAACACCAGATTCACACAAGAGCTTTAAATAAATACATATATACATGCATACACATATTTAAGAGTAAAACATTTGTTTTTTATGTGGTGTACTCCAGTAGGTATATTTCTAATGTCTAACAAAGTCTGCTATTTATATAAACGCAAATTCACACCTAGTAAAACTATTTTGTTACTACTAGACAGTAGTTAACGAGCATTATGTAACATATCAAATACAGAAGAAACACTTTTATGTGAAAATACTGTATGACTGAATTTATTTTTGAGATTTTTTTTTTTTGCTCCCTTCTCAATCTAAGAATGACAGGAATTATCAGTAATGCTGTAGTGCAAATCAGGAATCCCCAACCCCCAAGCCATGGATGGGTGGGGTATTGGTCCAGGGTCTGTTAGGAACCAGGCCGCACAGCAGGAGTGAGTAGCACGTGAGTGAGCATTACCCCTGAGCTCTGCCTCCTGTCAGATCAGTGGTGACATCAGATTCTCATAGAAGCACAAACCCTATTGTGAACCACATACACAAGGCCCACTCCTTATGAGACTCTAATGCCTGATGATCTGTCACTGTCTCCCATCACCCACAGATGGAACCACCTAGTTGCAGGAAAACAAGCTCAGGGCTCCCACTGATTCTACATGATGGTGAGTTGTAGAATTAGTTCATTATGTATTACAATGTAATAATAATAAAGTCCACAATAAAAGTAATGCACTTGAATCATCCTGAAATCACCCCCACCCCCAACCTGGTCTATGGAAAAACTGTATTCCATGAAACCGGTTCCTGGTGCCAAAAATGGTGGGGTACACTGGTGTAGATACTTCCCTGGGATAACCACAATAGGGCTTTGCTATGTGGCTACTCTAGTGGTTCTCTAACTATGAACCCAATTCACTGCCTTGTAAAATGAAGTACCTTCAAGTACCTTGAGTAACTAAAACCTCTCTGATGGGCTCATAACAAAATAATCTTATTCTAAGTTCTGCTCTATCATGAAGTGTGACATTCCTATTGGATTTTTCTTTTCTTTTCTTTTTTTTAAGACAGGGTCTTGCTCTTGTCACCCAGCTGGAGTGCAATGGTGTGATCTTGGCTCACTGAAACCTCCGCCTGCCAGGTTCAAGCGATTCTCCTGCCTCAGTTTCCCGAGTAGCTGGGATTACAGGCACCCGCCACCATGCCCGGCTAATTTTTTATATTTTTAGTACAGATAGGGCTTCACCATGTTTGCCAGGCTGGTCTCAAACTCCTGACCTCAGGTGATCCACCTGCCTCAGCCTCCTAAAGTGCTGGGATTACAGGTGTGAGCCACTGCGCCTGGCCACATTTTTCTTCTTTAATTTAAGAAGCCTCTAAGATGAACAGTGTCCTTCCATACTATGCATCTTGAGCAAATATCAATTCTGAAGAAAGGTCTCAGCAAATTTTGTATCAAGCCCTTCCCTCCAGGTCAATTCAAGACACCCTAAATACCATGTAAGACTACTAAGTACCTCATGAGTAAGGTAACAATTTCTCCCTTTTTCCAGTGCTACACTACCATCACTCATTTTTTTTTTCAATTAGCATAGATTTTAAAGCTGTAAAGCATTAAACATTAAAACAAGTTCAATAGAATGTTCTCTTCTTACTAAAAAAACTAGTTTGAGAATTATTTTCAGTAAACTTCAATAACATCTATAAAGTCTGAACTTAGTGATCTACTATATTAGGATACTTTGAAAGAATTATGTCCTAAAGGATCAACGGTTCTTCACAAAACTTTTTTTTACAGTAAGTTTTTAAAATTAAGTTAACCTGGATCCTAGATTCACTGTAACATTTTACCTGGCTCATTTAATTCAGGCCAACACAATGAAGCTACAGTTATTATACTTTGATTTAAAAGGTATTTTACATTTTAAGGTCAGTTTGAATGAAACTAAAATTCATGTAACTTTAAATTCCACACTTACCTACTATCTGTCCTCTAACTGTATCATTGTCATTTGGCCCAAGTTTGCATAAATCCAACCTCTGATCTATTTGAAGTCAACAAAGAAAGCAATGAAAAAATTAGTTGATATCAGAGATTCTAACATCTATAGAGTGACAATAAATTTCCACAATCCATTAGAAATCAAACCTATCATTTAAAGAGTTCAGATTTCAAAAACCATGAAACACTGGTGTATTACATTGCCAACATGCAGTCACATTCTCTCCAAAACTTTTAGACCACTTTAGTCTGAGTCTTAATAGTTGTTGGTCTTAAGGAATTTATCCCTGAGCCTTGGTTTTCTCAAATATGACAATATGTGAATCTTCATATTTTTTGAGGATTAAATCAGATAATTACGCAAAACTCTCAGCATAGTGCCTGGAACATAAGTGGCCAACAAATGTTAGTTGTCATTATCATTTTTTACCTAACCATTTCAAATGACATGGACACAAAAAAGTATTAAGAAGACACCAAGAATAAACTGTAAAATCTGGGTTTGCATCAGTTCTGTCATTCATTTAGAAGTAACTCATTTATTCTCTCAGATGCCTCATCTGTAAACGAGAAATAACACTGGCCTGACCCTGAAAGTTACAGTAAGGAACAAGGTCACTTAAAGGATGCTGGTTTTACTTTGATTACCGCACTTATAGCTGAATGCTTTTACAACTGTATGCCATCTGTCTACTCATCTGTGAATTGATAAAAGGAGGAGACCATATCTTAGTCTTTGCATTTTCCACTCCAATCTGGCAGAACATTGCATCAGGTAGGTGCTCAATAAATATTTGATAAATTCAATACTACTGCACATCAAAAAGGTCAAATTAATACAAGGAAACAGTCACAAGAAACACAAAGAAAAATCCATGCCCCTAAACTACAGTCCCTAGTTATCCAACCAAAAATACAGAGACTTTTCTCTTTGCAAAATAAATGGGTGCTACTAAGTTGGCTATATAGTGGATTCTGCAGAGCAACTCCTCCTCTCCTATTCAGTCCTTCCAATGTAGCATGCTCCCTTTGCCAGGAGGCCTTTGCCCTTGCTTATCAGAGGACAGGATTCATACCTTTTTCTCCTTTATACAGCCAGGGTTTAGAAGAGTAGCACATTAGGTGTTCAATAAAAGTTGGGTAAATTGCACATGGGATAATGTCAGACATTTGATCTATAACTTTTCAGTTTGCTGAGTAAAAAAACAGTTCATTTTTATATGCAATTCGTTTTTTCCAATCCCAATGTCTTTTCCCTACTGTTGTCACTGTCAGCCCAGAAATATAAGACTTTCTTAGATGCCTTTAAATACCTTGGACTAAGAACTTCTAGCTCAATTTTCTGCCTTTTTCTTTTTCACAAAGTCAATAGATACCTATGCTGTGGTATCATACTACACTAAGAGACAATCTCTTAATATATTTAACATTCAATGCTAAATTTACTCTGTTTTTTATTAGTTTCCTTAGATCTTATGTGAGTTTGTTTAGCACATGCATCTGGGCTAAAATCCCATGACAATGACTAACAGTATTTTTTACATTATATAAAAAAGAATTCTATAGAAACAAACACACAAAAAAACCTGTTGAAAAAGGAATTCTCATTTATGTTCCAATGGAAAGATCCATCCAAAAGATTCACCTGGTTATGCTAAGTCAACTTATAAATCCATTATGAAAACCACTTCTAATGTCTTGATCTTGGTCTAATCTTCTAAATCCCCAGGCTGGTGATAAACTGAGCTACAGTTAAGTCATTAATACAGCTGTCGTACACTCAAAATAACGTTTAATCTTTAACTTTTAATTTTGTCACAGCAGTTCTTACCCTTCTGTAATTGCCCTTTAACTGCCAGCTTAAACACTCCAATCACCTCAATAAAAACATTTCATCCACAAATCCACCAAAACCAGAAAAGGGTACTAGAAATTTTAAAAGGCATATACATCCTGACATCTTTCTTTCTGCCATTCTGGATATCAATCATTTCTTAATATTTGTAAATTAGCTGGAAATGAAGCATCAGCTCTGATTTGGCTGTAAGTTTCACATATTTAAAACTTTTTTTTTTTTTTTTTTTGAGACAGTCTTGCTCTGTCGCCCAGGCTGGAGTGCAGTGGTGCGATCTGGGCTCACTGCAAGCTCCACCTCCCGGATTCACGTCATCCTCCTGCCTCAGCCTCCCGAGTAGCTGGGACTACAGGCGCACACCACCATGCCTGGCTAATTTTTTGTATTTTTAGTAGAGACGGGGTTTCACCATGTTCGCCAGAATGGTCTCGATCTCCTGACCTTGTGATCTGCCCACCTCGGCCTCCCAAAGTGCTGGGATTAGAGGAGAGCCACTGCACGCCCAGCCTCATTTTTTTTTTTTAAGTCTACAAAATAAATTTAGATCAGGAATTTTTTTTTTTTTTTTTTTTTTTTTGAGACGGAGTCTTGCTCTGTCGCCCAGGCTGGGGTGCAGTAGCCGGATCTCAGCTCACTGCAAGCTCCGCCTCCCGGGTTTACGCCATTCTCCTGCCTCAGCCTCCCAAGTAGCTGGGACTACAGGCACCCGCCACCTTGCCTGGCTAGTTTTTTGTATTTTTTAGTAGAGACGGGGTTTCACCGTGTTAGCCAGGATGGTCTCGATCTCCTGACCTTGTGATCTGCCTGTCTCGGCCTCCCAAAGTGCTGGGATTACAGGCTTGAGCCACCGCGTCCGGCCTAGATCAGGAATTTTCACCAGTGTTTCAGATGTACACAGGAAGTTGTGTTTGAAGCCCTACCAACATACCCAAATATAAATATTTTTAAATATATATTTGAGAATACATATACAGTGCATGTATATATGTATATGCACACATACATATACACACACACACATATATATTTTTTAATTTGAAAAGCACTCGTATCTACTCACAACCAGTGTCTTTGAGGCGGTTGATGGCATTGGAAAGAAGACGAACACAACCAAGAAATCCAGCACCTTGTTTCTTATGGATCTTCTTGTGATTCCATACACTGATCGTAACTGAATCAGACTTTCCAATATACCTAAAAAACAAAACAGCTGCATGAGTAACTTGGTAGTTACAGGCAGTTGGTGTAAAATTTTTCTTTTGTTCTTTTTATACTCTAAAGTTACATACACACTTCAGAGTCTGGCTGGATTATGCAAAATACATCTTGAGTTAATCCACAGGATTGAATTTAAATTTCTAATAATCTTGAAAGTAAAATCTAAAAAGAAATTTTAGTATATTTTTATCACATCTGCCACTCTCAAGCTGGGCTATAATTCTAGTCAGTAAGAAGGCTATTTTAGTAGCTAGTGTCTAATAACACTAAGGGAGTTTATTAAATAACTTCTTCCCAAGAAAAAGAATATTAAAAACTTTTATCACAGTCACATTTTAAATACATTTCGATGACATGACCTACTTTTCAAGCGATAGTGTCAAGGCTGACAGACCAAAAATCTGACCTACCTGTTATATTTTAAAATGCTGTAGAACAAAAGCTGTTTGTAACGCTTTTCCCCTGCTTCTTTCCTGTATGCAGGCCTTGAGCGAGCAGGACTCTTGCAGATTTCACTTCACTGCCTGCAGACAAGCAGAGCAGGGAAAAGCGTTACTGTACTTGTCTGTGCATACACCTGCAAGTATGTAAAAGCTCTACCACAGCCAATAGTTAACATGGCGTCAACCCATGCAAAAAGATAATAAAATAACATATCAGTAGAATCCTAGCTCTATTTCAATGACAATAAGAGGTCAAATTTTTGGTCCAGCAACCTTGATCTTAAAGTATCATTCAATAAATTAGCAATATCAGAAAAATTCACCTAGTATAGAGAAAAGCCTAAACCATTTAAATAAGGACTAAAGCTTTTAAATAAGTGACATGGAAGGTACACTTGAGCCCCGGGATCCAGCTGTGCCTAAAAAATGCCCACCCCTGGGCTTTTAATTACGCAAATCAGTACATTCCCTTTTAAAAAATTAAGACAATTTGAATTTGGTCTCTGTTACTTGCAAATGAAAAAATTTGAACTAAAATATTGTTCAGTATGCATGTACCAATTTTCAAATACACCTACCAGATCTGTCTTGGCATGTATCTACTGGCATGTAATTCCAGAGCCAGAATCAAGTACTAAGTAGCTGAATTACCCAAACTAAACATTTTTTTTTAAAAGTTACATTAGGCCGGGCGTGGTGGCTCACACCTGTAATTCCAGCACTTTGGGAGGCTGAGGCAGGCAGATCACCTGAGGCTGGGAGTTTGACACCAGCCTGACCATCATGGAGAAACTTTGTCTCTACTAAAAATACAAAAAACTTAGCCGGGCATGGTGGCGTGCACCTGTAATCCCAGCCACTCGGGAGGCTGAGGCAGGAGAGTCGCTTGAACCCGGGAGGCGGAGGTTGCGGGGAGCCGAGATCACGTCATTGCACTCCAGCCCAGGCAACAAGAGCGAAACTCCGTCTCAAAAAAAGGAAAAAAAAAAAAAGTTACATTAAACCAGTTGTCCAACTAGTAAGCCTGGTTTACAGGTATGCTGAAATACATATATTGATTACCTCAGTCCTCAGGGCAACGCATCACTGGCTTAAGCAACTTCATCTGTGTAGTCCAATGTGCCATATTTTTTATGTGCACCATGATTTGAAAAGGTTGGTAAATTCTACATTAAACCATAATAAGAAATTCCTAATTATAGACCTTCTGGAAGACAGCCTAACTCTGAATTACTAAAAATTATGAAATACATTGTATTACTTAAGGGTGTATATCACAAACATTCTGTCCAAATATTCCTGGGCCAGAAATGAATCTGAAATATTACCTTTTCTTATACACTGAGAAGTACATGCTCTCACTTTAATGAAACCTCATGTAATACACATGGCAACATACACAGTAAATCCTTTTACAATTGAAAGTCAGAGGGCTCTATTAGCTTCTATTAAAATTTTGACTAACAAACACATGATTTATAAACAAGTTTCAGGATGTTTTGTTGAGAGGGGGAGAGGGACACCTCTATAGGTGAATATAATGTTACCATACAGACCAAAATATATACTCAGGATTTTGGGCTAAAATTTAATTATTAGACTTTTGTTTGTATAGTTAGCCAATTAAAGGCAAGGGTTTTGCAAAATGACTTTAGAAACAATCATGAGAGAAGCCTCTGGTAGCCAATTAATATTAATTGTAAGATAAAACCTAATAAGCACATGAAAAGATGTTCAACATCATCAGTCATGACAGAAATGCACCTCAAAACCATGACCGGATACAACTTCATACCCACTAGGGTGGCTACAATTTTTTTTAAAGAAAATAACAAGTGACAGAGGAATAAAGAAACTTCCAGTGGAAAACAACAGTCAAGACAGATCAAAATCAGGATGCCATCAGCAATACTCTGAACCTACACTATCCAAAATGGTACCCACCAACCATACGGGACCCTTGAGTACTTCAAACGTGGCTAGTCCACACTGAGGCAAGCAGCCAAAGAAACCACTGATTTTTTTTCTTAACATAAAATGAGAAAACTGCTGATTTTTAAAAGACATAGTAAATATGTATATATACATATATGTAAGTAGTTCAATATTTTTATATTGACATGTTGAAAGTATTTTTGATATATTGAATTAAATAAATTATTATGCTTCATTTTAAGAAACAGGGTCTCGTTATGTTGTAGCTGGATTATAGGTGCAAGCCACCACGCCCAGTTTATCGGCTTCATGTCATCTGTTTCTTTTTACTTATCTTAATGTAGATGCTAGGAAATTTGAAATTATAGATGAGCTCCCATTTGTGCCTTGCATTATATTTCTACTCAACAGTACAGATCTAAACCTAGAAGATAATGGAGCAATGTATTCAACATTTGGAGGTAAAGTGATATTTCACCTAGAAGCCTATACTCAAACCATATCAAAAGAAGTCAAAATATATCTTCTGCTAAGATCTCAACTTTCTTCCCATCTTTGTATTATTTCTCTAGATGACAATGGAAGATAAAGTTCACCACAACAGGAGAGTAAACAATCAAACAAAAAAAAAGAAGTCACTAAACCTAGAAGAGACAAAGGAAACTGCCAGGCAAGTCCCAGGACAACTGCACAGCAGGTCTTAGAGAACCATCACACCAGACTGAAGAAAGAGAACAGAGACTCCCAGGAGAGGTATCTCCAAGAAGAAACAAAGCCAATGGAATACTGACAGAACTGAATATATGGAGAAAAGATCTTTAGTTCTGTAGGAGAGTTTGAGAATCATGACGTATAATTTCGCATTTCTAGCTAGGAGATAAATAGAAAACTAAACAAAAGGGGAAAGTAGCTCCTAACTTCAGAAAAAAACAAAAGCTGTCAAGAAAGAAAATATAATTCTTGTACCCATGTGACCCAACTATGGATATTTACATAATCCTAATAATGTAAACATGGAACAATGGTTTAACCAAAAAGGTTCATACAACATATTGGAAGACTAAAAAAAGGAGGGGCTTGTGAGTGGCATGAGAATGGGGATGATGAATACCAATTTTAAAAGCTGAACCACTGGGCTGGGCATCGCAGCCAATGCCTGTAACCCAAATACTTTGGGAGGCCGAGGAGGGAGAATCTCTTGAGCCCAGGAATTCAAGACCAGACTGGGCAATATAGCAAGACTCCATCTCTACAAAAAATTACAAAAAAAAAAAATTAGCTGGGCATGGTGGCATGCACCTGCAGTTCCAGCTACTCAGGAGGGTGAGGTGGGAGGATCAGCTGAGTCCAGGAGTTTGAGGCTGCAGTGAGCTATGATTATGCCACTGCACTCTGGCCTGAGCAACAGAGTGGGACTGTCTCTAATTTTAAAAGAATTTTTAATAATAAAAAATAAAGCTGAATCATCTTCTAGGTAGGAAATTCAAAAATACCGAAAACTAGGCTTGGCGTGGTGGCTCATATCTGTTATCCTGGCACTTTGGGAGGCTGAGGCAGGTGTATCACTTGAGGTCAGGAGTTCGAGACCAGCCTGGCCAACATGGTGAAACCCCATCTCTAATAAAAATAAAAAATTTAGCTGGGTGTGGTGGCGGGCACCTGGAGTCCCAGTTACTCAGGAGGCTGAGACAGGAGAAATGCTTGAACCCAGGAGGCAGAGGTTGCAGTGAGCCGAGATGGTGCCACTGCACTCTAGCCTGGGTGACAGAGCAAGACTCTGTCTCCAAAAAAAAAAAAAAAAATTACCTAAAACTAAAAAAAGAAAACTGTGAGGCTATAAAATAAAAAGCATATCTAGAAACAGATGAAAATACCAGAACAAACAGCCAAAGTTATTAAAGCAGTTACCTTGAGGATGGGAATCAGGAATGAGAATGGAGCAGGGAACTTGCTGTTTTCCAGTAAAAGCTTTATAGTATCATTTGCCTTTTTAAAAAGGTGCATATGTTCCTATGGTTAAAATAAAATTTAAAAGAAAGAAACCATCCATATAAAGGCAGAGAGAATGCCTATTCAGTGCAACCCAAATTCTTATTTCTGGTTTTATAATTGGTCTAAAGTGGTGAATTAATACCTTTATTTAATTGAAAAAAGAGGTGGGGGACTGCTCTACTGTGAGCCAGTTTCATTTTGTTCTTCATAGAATTTAAGGGATACTTCATCTTTCAGAACCTGTCTGTAAGCCGAGGCACATTCCCACTGGGCTTTTCTTTACGCCTTTTGTGAAGACCAAATTATACCACAGATGAAACTCAGATCATTTCCCATGATTCGTTTCAAAGACTATATTAAGTAACATTAATTATATGTTTCATTTCAAACTAATTGTTTAAACCTACAGGTCATAATGCTGATTCCACTTTGGATCAAGTGTATTCTTCACAGTATCTGTAGAATGGCATTGCCCAGATCCATCAACCACCACCTTAGCAAATGGATCAGGAAGTCCTGTGAAAAAAGATTTTTAAAAATTAATAATTTGACATTTAAGATAGAAGATTAATTATACAAACATTCCACTTGCTACAAAAGATTATTCCTTTCTTTTAAAAAAAGCTTAACATTTAGCTATAAATGAAGAGTCCATTTTTAAAAAAAAAAGACTAAAGTTACTTCTACATAAAACCCAAAACTATATTTTCCTCGTTTCTGTCTCAAAATATTCCCAGTTTAAACTAAAATCTAGAGGTTACCTCATAATGTGGAAGTTGTTATAGGTTGTTACCAGCCCTCTGACCCCAGGAAGGTGAATTCTTGTAACTATTCATGGATTTTTCTTTCCAAATGTCTCCCTCAGTAGCTCATTCAAAGAAAGAGCTTATTAAAGGTTTTTATACAGGAACGCAGGCTACAGAGAAATCAAATTAGCAAATGGGTTTTGCTGAATAACTACCAGGAAAAATGAGACTGAAACAAAAGATGTAACACTCTGCCTTAAAAGAGCTTACTATCTAATTGGAAAAATAAAAATACTATACATGAAAAACAAAAAAAACAAAAATACCTGAGAATAAACAAGTGCTTAGTGATATTGATTATAATGCAAACACTTATATCATTACGTTAGGTACTACTCTAAATACATTCATCCTTAATCCTTACAGTAACCCTATGAGGTAGATACGGTTATTATCCCTATTTTACTGATGAGGAAACTAAGGCACAAGGCGGTCAATTAACTAGGCCAAGGTCACAGAGTAGTAAATGGCAGAGCCAGAATCTAAAAGTGTAGATTCTAAACCCATGTCTGGTTCTCGACTTCATGCTCTGAACCACTATGCTGTATTTTACCTCTTATTTACCACATGGTCCAACAGTGAGTACAAGTAAGAGCTCAGAAAAACAGGAGAACAATGTGAATCTGAACAGTAAAGAAAGGGCTTTGAGGAGGGGGGAACTCATCTGGGTTTTAAGGCAGGGGTCTCCAATCTCTGGGCCATGGGCCAGTACAGGTTCGTGGCCTGTTACAGCCAGAGGTGAGCAGCAGGAGAGTAAGCATCATGGCCTGAGCTCCACCTTCTGTCAGATCAGCGGCAGCGTTAGATGCTCACAGGAGCTCGAACCCTATTGTGAACTGTGCGTGCAAGGGATCTAGATTGTGTGCTCCTTATGAGAATCTAATGCTTGATGATCTGAGATGGAATAGTTTCTACCCAACACATCCCCTGCTCCCCATGTCCTTGGAAAAATTGTCTAGAACGAAACATGTCTCTGTGCCAAAGGTTGGGGGCTGCTGCTTTAAAGGACATACAGGAGAAGGAGGACTTTCCTAGCAATAAGAAGAGTGCCAAGGAGGGTATGACAATACAATATTTTAAAGACTTTGAAGAATCTAACCAAAGAGCTTGTGCTAAGGTATAAAAGTAAGTACTGTTGGAAATATGACTGATCAAGTTAAGAGAGGCTTAAAAAGGCTGGCGCGGTGGCTCACGCTTGTAATCCCAGCACTTTGGGAGGCCGAGGCAGGTGGATCACCTGAGGTCGGGAGTTCAAGACCAGCCTTACCAACATGGAGAAACCCCGTCTCTACTAAAAATACAAAATTAGCCGGGGTGGTGGCACATGCCTGTAATCCCAGCTACTCGGGAGGCTGAGGCAGGAGAATCGCTTGAACCCGGGAGGCGGAGGTTGCGGTGAGCCGAGATTGCGCCATTGCACTCCAGCCTGGGCAAAAAGAGCAAAACTCTGTCTCAAATAAAAAAAAAAAAAAAAAAAAAAGAGAGGCTTAAAAGTCAGACAACAGGGCTTGGACTGACTGAGGTAGATAACAGGGAGTCATTTCAGATTCTTGAGCATGGCTGGAACTACAGTCGTATTTTTCTTTCAGTGGTATTCAGGGTCCACTAGAAGAAGGAAAGACTAGAGGCAGACCATACATGAAGCAGTTGTAATTATCCAACAGTAGGATGAAAAGACCCTGAATGAGGGAAGTCATATGGAAAGGGAAAGGAAATGACAATTAAGATAGCTATTTTGAAAGATCTAATACAAATTAATAAGAAACTTGTATCAAAGATGACAATACAGTTTTCGGCCCAAAGCAATAACGGAAATGATTCTTTTGACAAAAATTTAAAAGGTGGAACTAAAAATGCTAGAGAGACAAAAATGACACTTCACGTGTTAGACATATTGGGATAGAGTAGATTTCCTGTGGACAGCTGAAAATACTAGAACAAAACAGCGTTAACTGTTGGTGACTGGAGAAATTTTGCATGTTGGTATCAATGCTAATTTTTTTAAGATACTAATCTGCCAAGTTTCAAGGACAGACAAATCACCTATCAGTTTCCCAATTCTATGACTCCGTGATCTATCGCCTTCAAATATTAAAGGAGGACCAAAACCTAAGGGTTAAGTTTCAAAGAAACTGGGTAAGTTAGGGTATTAAATCTATTTAACTATATCATTCTTGAAGCTGAGTACTATGCACAATATTTCAATAACACCTAACCATTTATAAATGTGTTCAATGGAAGAAAGTTTTTACCTCCACCCTCAATACATGAAGTATTTCCTCCTGGGAAGAATTCACTCTATCTTGTTATTTTCACTCTACTATTTAAATAAATAAACATATAAATGTATGTTTATAAGCAAAAACAAAAAAAATCACATTTCTAAACTTTCCCTTTGAGTGTTATTAAACTAGTTGAAGAATTAAGTCTCTCTGCTGGTTTCTTGCTTTTTTAAAAAAATAAAATTAAAAAGAATTAAGGATTGGCCAGGCACAGTGGCTCACGCCTGTAATTCCAGCACTTTGGGAGGCTGAGGCGAAAGGATCACTTGAGCCCAGGAGTTTCTGAGACCAGCCTGGGCAACATAGTAAGACCACCCCCGACACTCCCCACAAAATAATTTAAAAGTTAGCCAAGCATGGTGGCATACATCTGTAGTCTCAGCTACTCAGGAGACTAAGGTGGGAGGATCACTTGAGCCTGGGAGGCCGAGGCTGCAGTGAGCCATGATCATGCCACTGCACTCCACCCTGGTTGACAGAGCAAGACCCTATCTCAGGGGGAAAAAAAAAATTAAGGATTAAGAAAAACAACATCTGACAAAGGACTAATATCCAGAATCTACAAAGTACTCAAACAAAGCAGCAAGAAAAAAACAATCCCATCAAAAAGTGGGTTAAGGACATGAATAGACAATTCTCAAAAAAGATATACCAACAAGATAGGCCAACAAGTAGATCGAAAAATGCTCAACATCACTAAATATCAAGGAAATGCAAATCAAAACTACAATGCGATGCCACCTCACTCTTGCAAGAATGGCCATAATCAAAAAATTTAAAAATAACAGATGTTGGCATGGATGCAGTGAAAAGGGAACACTTTTACACTACTGGTGGCAATGTAAACTAGTACAACCACTACGGAAAACAGTATGGAGATTCCTTAAAGAACTAAAAGTAGATCTACCGTTTGATCCAGCAATCCCACTACTAGGTATTAAACCAGAAGAAAAGAAGTCATTATACGAAAAAGATACTTGCACACACATTTGTAGCAGCACAATTCACAATTGCAAAAATATTGAAGCAGCTCAAATACCTATCAACTAATGAGTGGATAAAGAAAATGTGGTGTGTGTATGTATATATACATATACACACACAAACACACATATACATATATACACCATGGAATACTACTTAGTCATTAAAAAGAAATAATTACATTCACAGCAACCTGGATAAAACTGGAGACTATTATTCTAAGTGAAGTAACTCAAGAATGGAAAACCTAACACCATATGTTCTCAATCACATGTGGGAGCTAAGCTATGAGAATGCAAAGGCATAAGAATGATACACTGGACTATGGGGACTGGGGGAAAGGGTTGGGGGTAGCGAGGGATAAAAGACTACACACTGGGTACAGTGTACACTGCTTGGGTGATGGGTCCACCAAAATTTCAGAAATCACCACTAAAGTCCTTATTCATGTAATCAAACACCATCTGTTCCCCCAAAACCTATTCAAATTAAAAAAAAATAATAAAAGAAAAACAACTTTTTCCATACAAAATGTGGCTTCCAGATCCTTAATTCAGTAGGAAAGTCACAGCTTTTTATGTTCTCTTTCTGTTAAATAACACAATAAACAAAAATACAAGTTCAATACCTTAATTAAAAAATACATAGGTTTCAACTTAACCTGATTATATTATTCTACAAAAATTTAACTTGAGAGCCAAGTTACTCTAATATGGTCAAAAGCTATCAGGTTTTCTGAAGTTAGTGAGACATCTAGTGGTAAATACAAAGTGGCTAGAGAACTTTCTGCATTTTAAAAAATTTCTCAGCCAGGCACAGCGGCTTACGCCTGTAATGCCAGCACTTTGGGAGGCTGAAGTGGGTGGATCATGAGGTCAGGAGATCGAGACCATCCTGGCTAACACGCTGAAATCCCATCTCTACTTAAAATACAAAAAATTAGCCGGGTGTGGTAGCACATGCCTGTATTCCCAGCTACTTGGGAGGCTGAGGCAGGAGAATCGCTTGAACATGGGAGGCGGAGGTTGCAGTGAGCCGAGATCGCGCCACTACACTCCAGCCTGGGTGTCAGAGACAGACTCTGTCTCAAGGGAAAAAAAAATTTTTTTCTCAATTCTCCATTATTTCTGAGGCATATAAAACAGCTAAAGCTCAAAAACCTCCTTACTACACAAATGCACTTGAAAAGCTGCAAATAATAATAAAATAACATTTTTAAGTCAAAAGTGTGTTACCTTCCAAAGAAAACAGCTTTATTTTCAATTGGGCCAAGAAAAAAAAAAAAACATTTAGCCAACCCATCTTGGTTCTAAATGACTTCAATTTGGCCCCCTATAAAATACCTTAATACATTACCTTACACAGAAATCTTTTTTAAAATGTTGCAGAAGAACCAATCTGACAGTAATGAAAACACTCCTTTTCATATAAAAAGCACACGTAAAACAGATAACAAAGGCAGGGCACAGTGGCTCACGCTTGTAATCCCAACACTTTGGGGGGCCGAGGCAGGCGGATCACGAGGTCAGGAGTTTGAGACCAGCCTGGCCAACATGGTGAAACCCCGTCTCTATTAAAAATACAAAAATTACCTGGGTGTGGTGGCACATGCCTATAATCCCAGCTACTCAGGAGGCTGAGGCAGGAGACTTGCTTGAACCCAGGAGGCAGAGGCTGCAGTGAACCAAGATCGCCACTGCACTCCAGCCTGGGGACAGAGCAAGACTCCATCAGAAAAACAAAAAAACCAAAAAACCAAAAAACAGATAATGAATAAATGGGTAAATACGTGATAAAGTTAATGGTAGAATCTAGATGGTGGATCTTTACTATAAAATTCTTTTATCTGTTGCTTTATGTTTGAAATTTTTCCTGCTAAAATTCTGGGGGAAAGGGGAAGTGACTTATTTTTAAAAGCCAATAAGTTTGAAAACAGTTCAAAAACATGAGTTAATAAAACTTTTCTCAACAAGGATAGCACCCAATAAACAGTATTATCTCACATACAAATTACAAAAGACAACACATGGCAGTGTATTTTTTCCTGCAATGAAAAGTATATATCTATTTCATCACCCTATAGTCATACTTGGTATTAAAATTTGCTTTTCTCATTCAATACAATTTTAATTGAATCACAAGCAAAAATTTAACTATATTTTACTATTAATAACTGCACTGATCAACAAACGCACATTCATTTATATTTAATTGAAGAATTTAGGAATTACTGTCTCTGAAATTAACGTGGGCCACCCTTAACAGGTCAAAAATCTCTGTAAGTATACACGTAAATCTACCACAGAATGGACCTGGGACCTTGGCCAGTGTGAACCTGGGAGGTAACTTCCATCCCTGGCTAACACCCCTCTGAAGCCCTAAGGATTACCGTTCCTGTTTCCCTTTCCAGGCCATCAAGAGTCTCCCATTCTAAGTTTTAAAGATAATCACACTGTTTCCCCTAATCTTATCCCTAAAGCAAGTTCACACTCTTAGAATTTTTATCAATTTTTACTGCCTACACCAATGAAAAAGGGAAAAGATTTCCTTCTTTCTTTCACTTACAATTTAAGGATAAAGATCACATAAAGGGTAACAATCAGCTCTCTAAGGTTTATAAAACATTAAAATATGATTCCTCTAGATTTCCTAGGAAAAATTAGGTAAGGATATCTGGATATTTTATTAGAGAAGCTGTGTCCTGGGACTCTAGAGGAAGGAAATTTGAAAAGGAAAGCTGGGAGACAAAACTGAAGATTTTATCTTCAAAACCGGAGCAGATGTCTTAGAGGCTACAGAAGCAGCTGTAAGAGTGCTCCTCTCAGCCGGGTGCGGTGGCTCACGCCTATAATCCCAGCACTTTGGGAGGCCAAGGCAGGAGGATCACAAGGTCAGGAGTTCAAGACCAGCCTGACCAACATGGTGAAATCCCATCTCTACTAAAAATACAAAAATTAGCCAGGCGTGTTGGCGTGCACCTGTAATCCCAGCTACTCAGGAGGCTGAGGCAGGAGAATCGCTTGAACCTGAGAGGTGGAGTTTGCAGTGAGCCGAGATCACGCCACTGCACTCCAGCCTGGGTGACAGAGTGAGACTCCATCTTTAAAAAAAAAAAAAAAGTGCTCCTCTTACTTCCCTCCCTTTTCTCCTTGTCTAACCCTATGTGCCACTTTTCAGGCCCACTAGGACAAATCCTACCTTAGATTAACCTTATAGAAGGTTTGAAAAAAAAAAAGTACACCTCAGTTAGTAGCAACAGGGATGAGGTAGGAAGTGAGCAGAAGCCTCAGAGACAACAGTGATTGGCGGCAACAGGGAGAGATGGGGAGTTCTGTGGCCACTGGGACCTTCTACTGTGACAAGCTTCTGGGGACAAGGCACATGGTACACAAATTTAAACTGCTTATAATTTTCGTCCTATGTTCCAAATTATCCTATTTGCTTTCTTATGTAAGCAGAAAGATAACCATAAATATTCATAAATATATAGTTTTATAAGATGTTATTTTATAAACTTTAAGTTCTGCTCTAGAAAAACTCAAAATAATAAAATTTCAAGTGGAATGAATTAAGTGTAATTTTAAATTATACTGGCTGGGCACAGTGGCTTACACCTGTAATCCCAGCACTTTGTGAGGCTGAGGTAGGAGGAGGATCACTTGAGGCCAGGAGTTTGAGACCAGCCTGTGCAACACAGCAAGACCCTGTCTCTACAAAGAATAGTAAATAAATAAATAAATTAGCTGGGCGTGGTGAAGTGTGCCTGCAGTCCACCTACTCAGGAGGGTGAGGTAGAAGGATCCCTTGAGCCTAGGAGTTTGAGGCTGCAATGAGCAATGACTATGCCACTGTACTATACCCTGGCTGACAGGGCAAGATTCTGTCTCTAAAAAGAAAAAAAAAATATATATAGCTCATTTCTTTTAATCAAACCCCCAAAAATCATCTACTATCACATGAAATCAAACAGTACACATAGCCTGTGACTTGAATTTAAAAATTTAATGAATCGTCTCTATTCTAATTTCAAATATTTTACATACAAAGTGTTGTTGGCTGAAGTTGTGTTTTTTTGTTATTATTATTATTTTTTACTAAAAATTGTATCATTTTTAACCAATAATTTAGAGCTACAACAGAATAAAGATTGTTAATATACATGCTGGGTACTTCCCAATCCCCTCTCACAAAACTTAGTACTAAATAAAGCCAGAAAAAAAAAAAAAATCACAACAGACTGGTAAATATAATGCACATATGGGAACCAAACATCTGCTTTGGAATCTGAGACGTAAGAGCATCTAGGATCAAGTGTGGCAGAGATTTCTTTACTACACTCTGGAAATTCCAAGCAGGCTCAACGACTTTTCCACCTTCCAATGAATCCTGAATGAATACAGCTTCCTATGAAATTTTCAAAAGGAAAAAAGTGTTCACAAAATAATCTCTTAAACCTTTCCTAGGATTCTAGTAGTATGCACACCTTCAATATACATTACACACATCTGCATCTACATACCTGCATATACACGCATTCTCATAAATACATGGGAGAGGTTAAAAGGAAAAGGCTAAGGCTAAAAAGCACAAAACCTTCTAAAAAAAATATGATGCCAAATGGCTCTGAACCAAAGCATTCATAATAAAATAACACTGACGATATTTCTGAATAGAGAAACCCCTAAACCAGAGAATTCTGAAAATCCTGTTCCCAAAGATCTACATACAATACACAAGATTTAAAGTTAATTTACTTACGGAAAAAATCCTTTTTCACCAGGTTTTTTGCACAGAGTACTGTAAAAAAAAAAAACAAAAAATACATGGGAAAAATTAAAATGTTAAGAGTGTACTGTTACATTTTAAAACACTGAAAACAGCAGTGAATAGTTAAACCCTAACTATAGCAAGGTATGAAACATGATCACAAACTTTCAAACTAGCAAACAAAGGACAGTTGAACCAGTGGTTGCAACTTTAGCAATGATCACCAGTAATAACTGAGAGCAAGAAAGTTTACAAATCTGATATTCTAATAATAAGACAGAAATTCAATTCCTATCTTCCATCAAGATCTATTCTCTGAGAAACTCAGTGGCAATGGGAAAAATAGTTCAAAGGAGATATGTAAAGTCAGGTTGTTATATCTATTTTAAGGATGAAATAATTGTATACTGAAGAGGAACATAAATAAAGATATAGCTTTCCTGATATAGATGATTTTTTTTTTTTTAAATAACATTCTGTTCTCCACCTAAATGCCACAGAAACTTCATAGGAGAAATCAAATTACCTTATCCTAAATAGTCAGTTAAATGACAAGATATGTCTACTATATCTTTGAAGAATTTAAAGTTAATATATTAAAACTAGATATCCCAAATCCACATTTTCCAAGTTACTATACATTAAATTACTTACATGGATGGATGCACAACCTTGTGAACATACTAAAAAATACTGAATTGCCCACTTTAAAAAGGATAAATTTTGGCCGGGCGCAGTGACTCACACCTGTAATCCCAGCACTTTGGGAGGCTGAGGTCGGCGGATCATGAGGTCAGGAGTTCAAGACTAGCCTGGCCAATATGGTGACACCCCGTTTCTATTAGAAATACAAAAATTAGCTGGGCGTGGTGGTGTGCGCCTGTAGTCCCAGCTACTCAGGAGACTGAGGCAGAAGAGTCACTTGAACCCGGGAGGCGGAGGCTGCAGTGAGCCAAGGTTACACTGCACGCCAGCCTGGGCTACAGAGCAAGACTCTCTCTCAAAAAAAAAAAAAAGAAAAAAAAGGATAGATTTTACAGTATATGAGTTACATACCAATTTTAAAATTACTGCTTACAGGCTGGGCACAGTGGCTCATGTCTATAATCCCAGCACTTTGGGAGGCCAAGGTGGGTGGATAGCTTGAGGTCAGGAGTTTGAGACCAGCCTAGCTAACATGGTGAAACTGTGTCTCTAGTAAAAATACAAAAATTAGCTGGGTGTGGTGGCGCACGCTTGTAATCCCAGCTACTCAGGAGGCTGAGGTGCGAGAATCACTTGAACCTGGGAGGTGGAGGTTGCAGTGAGCCAAGATTGCACCACTGTACTCCAGCCTGGGCGACAGAATAAGACTCTGTCTCAAATAAATAAATAAATAAATAAATAAGCAAGCAAGCAAGCTTATAGAGTCATAAACTTAAAGCTTCTTTAACTCAAACTTGATACAAGAGAAAGAAAAACACCAATTTTCATATATGTAAATTTTAGTTTATAAAATACCTATGAATGTAATGTTTGGTATTTCTATCCACTTCTACTAACAGTTTAAATGAATTACAGTTACTGGAAGTTTAGTGTATAAAAGCTCATTTGACATAAACTTGGGAATGAGTCTAAATAAATATAATCACTGTAAGGGTTCACATAAAAAAACCTTTTGAAGACAGATGTCATCAGTAAATAAATAAAATTATTAAGTAAGCACAAGATACTGATATACTAGGCAGAGTCCCTTAGGCCTTGTCTTAGAGTTTTGTTTTTAAAAACATAAAAACTCAATTGATGATGAAAACTAGGGCCATAACTAAGAATAACAAATCACAAACTGGATTTAGAAGAACTCCTCCCAAACTTTTATCATAATATAAATTGAAAAGAATATTTAGGATCAATACACATGTAACACAAAAAAAATCTAAATTACAATCTTTCGTTTTAATGAGGTAATGATGATGTATTTAAACAAACCACTATCCTGTGATTCATGAAGTGAAATGATTTCACATCCGACTTCAGAGAAAGAGAAAACATGAGATCTCCTCCAACACACTGCCACCAAACCTACATTTTCATTCTTTTTTTCCTTCCTTCCACTGACAATGTCTACTCTCCTAAGACTATCCTCTATCTCATATCCAAAACACCATTTTCTTGGGGATCTTCACAGCTGTTATACATATCCTCTATCTTGCCCCCTTTTCTAACTACTTTGTCAGCATTTAAACATACTCAAGTCTTACCCAAGCCTCCCTTCAGCCATCATCTACCTCTTCCCCCTCATAATAAAACTTCTTCAAAGAAAATAAATGTGCAAAAATCACAAGCTTTCCTATACACCAATAACAGACAAACAGAGCCAATTGCTACAGAGACAATAAAATACCTAGGAATACAACTTACAAGAGATGTGAAGGACCTCTTCAAGGAGAACTACAAACCACTGCTCAAGGAAATAAAAGAGGACACAAATAAATGGAAAAACATTCCATGCTCATGGAGGGGAAGAATGAATATCGTGAAAATGGCCATATTGCCCAAAGTAATTTATAGATTCAGTGCTATCCCCATCAAGCTACCACTGACTCTCTTCACAGAATTGGGAAAAAACTACTTTAAATTTCATATGGAACCAAAAAAGAGCCCTCATAGCCAATACAATCCTAAGCAAAAAGAACAAAGCTGGAGGCATCACACCACCTGACTTCAAACTATACTACAAGGCTACAGTAACAAAAACAGCATGGTACTGTGTATATATATATATATATATATATATATATATATATATATATACACCAATGGAAAACAAATATATAGACCAATGGAACAGAACAGAGGCCTCAGAAATAACACCACACATCTACAACCATCTGATCTTTGACAAACCTGACAAAAACAAGCAATGGGGGAAAAGATTCCCTATGTAATAAATGGTGTTGGTAAAACTGGCTAGCCATATGCAGAAAACTGAAACTGGACTCCTTCCTTACACCTTACACAAAAATTAACTCAAGATGGATTAAAGACTTAAATGTTAAGACCTAAAACCATAAAAACCCTAGAAGAAAACCTAGGCAATACCATTCAGGACATAGGCATGGGCAAAGACTTCATGACTAAAACAAAAGCAATGGCAACAAAAGCCAAAATAGACAAATGGGATCTAACTAAACTAAAGAGCTTCTGCACAGCAAAAGAAACTCATCAGAGTGAACAGGCAACCTACAGAATGGGAGAAAAAAATTGCAATCTATCCATCTGACGAAGGGTTAATATCCAAAATTTACAAAGAACTTAAATTTACAAAAAAACAAACAAAACAAACAAACAAACAAACAACCCCATCAAAAAGTGGGCAAAGGATATGAACAGACACGTCTCAAAAGAAGACATTCATGCAGCCAACAAACATGAAAAAAAGCTCATCATTACTGGTCATTAGAGAAATGCAAATCAAAACCACAATGAGATACCATCTCACGCCAGTGAGAATGGCGATCATTAAAAAGTCAGGAAACAACAGATGCTGGAGAGGATGTGGAGAAACAGGAACACTTTTACACTGTTGGTGAGAGTGTAAATTAGTTCAACCATTGTGGAAGACAGTGTGGTGATTCCTCAAGGATCTAGAACCAGAAATACCATTTGACCCAGTAATTCCATTACTGGGTATATACCCAAAGGATTATAAATCATTCTACTATAAAGACATATGCACACGTATGTTTACTATGGCACTATTCACAATAGCAAAGACTTGGAACCAACCCAAATGTCTATCAATGATAGACTGGATAAAGAAAATGTGGCACATATACACCATGGAATACTATGCAGCCATAAAAAAGGATGAGTTCATGTCCTTTGCAGGGACATGGATGAGGCTGGAAACCATCATTCTCAGCAAACTAACACAAGAACAGAAAACCAAACACTGCATGTTCTCACTCATAAGTGGGAGTTGAACAATGAGAACACATGGACACAGGGAGGGGAACATCACACAATGGGGCCTGTTGGCGGGTGGGGGGTTAGGGGAGGGATAGCATTAGGAGAAATACCTAATGTAGATGACGGGTTGCTGGGTGCAGCAAACCACCATGGTACGTGTATACCTATGTAACAAAACTGCACGTTCTGCACATGTACCCCAGAACTTAAAGTATAATTTAAAAAAATTTTTAAAAAGAACTGCCTATACTTTTTGACTCTACTTCTTTACCTCCCACTAATGCCTTGATCCACTGCAATCTGGCTTCCTCCCTCACCACTGCCTCTGAATCGCTGCTATAAAGCCCTGGAGACCTAATTAACAAGTCCATACAATGGATATTTTTCCTTCTTTATGGCACTTGACCCCCTCATGGGCATTTGCCACTATTGATTATTCCCTCTTCCAGAATCTCTCTCTTCCAGTTCTGTTTAACACCACATTCACCAGGTTCTACATGGCATAAAACTCATTCTAAGTTCTCTTTGCCAGATCTTGCTATGCTAAAAACTTGAAGTTCTTCAGGGTTTTGCCCTAGGTTCTCTTATTTTACTCTGTAACCTGAGGATCATAGTGTCCATTTTTGTAAACCTTGCAATTATATGTAAACTATTACATATATGTTTATTTTCTGGGGAGAGAATCCATATTTTTCCTGGGAGAGAGTTCACAGCTTAACAGATTGACAGAACTCTTCCTCTCTCTCAAAAAATAAAATTCGAAGAGCCACTTTTCCATATATTCTCTCTGGTCTTTACCATTTACTTTATGGTTATCATGATACCTAAATTCATAAAACCCGATCCTTAGGTCTCTCCTAAACTCCAGGTCCACAAACCAAACAAGCATTCCCCCCAAAAAATCATGTCTTCCCCGCAAATCTGCTCCTCCCTCCAGTTGACTTTCTTTCCAATAAATAGCCTTCCTTTCCACTCCACTACCCAAGTCAGAAATCTCCATAGCAACCTTCACTGTCTTCCCTCCCGAAAACCTGACAATTACAATTCTCAGCAATTCTACCCCGGAAATATCCTTCATC